ATTTATTAATTTTTTTATTAATAAATTCTTTTTCAATCTAATACTTTTTACAAATCATATTAAGTTATTGATTTTTTTTAATTTTTATCAAATAATTTTTTTAAAAAATTTATTTGATAAAAATTAAACAATTAAGATATATTAATCATTTGAAGAGTGTTTTTTTAAAAAAATTATATTATATTTTTATAATTAAAACTAACCATTGCTATTTTAATTTTTTTATATCATTTTGTTATGGTAATATGATATTAAAAGCATAATTTATTTGTAAGCCTAATTTACTTTAAATCAATTAAGAAATAAAAGTTAGTTATTTGTAAAAAATATTTATTCTGTAAAAAAAATCAACCCATTAAGTTAACAATAGATAAAGGTAATAAAAATGAAGATATAAAACATCAAGTCAATATAATAACTACGCTAGAACTAAACATGATGGTTTTAATAAACTCAATAAAGTAGGTCATTCTACGATAATCTTTTTCTAATTTTAAGTGTTTAATTTAATTAATAATTAAAAAATAAATTCATCTAGTGTTTTTTAATTCTTTTTAAAAAACACCAATTTATTTTTCTACCTTTTATTTTATAAATTTAATACATATTGAATTTTTTTTCTAAAATTAAGATAATATAAATAAAAGTTTATTGTTAAATATAAAAAAATCTAAATATGAAAAATAATTTTCTTTTTTATATAATAATGATATGAAACTACATCCACAAAAAACTTTCTTTAAGAAATAAAACTAATTTAAAATTTTAATTTTGATCTAATTATGAATTTGTTAAAAATTAGATTCATAAAAGAAATCCCAAAAATTGTTATAAAACTAAAGTAGATTGTTATTATAAATAATAAAAAACGTTTAATAAAATTTGTGAAAATTTTATTAAATTTATGATAAAGCGTATTGTAAAACTTTATAAAAAAATAAAAAATATTAAATGATTCTTATTTGAGCAAAGTCTTTGTTTTTAAAAAAAGAGGATATAAATTCTCCTTTTAACACATACAATCTTTTTAATATGCTATATTGATTTCGATATGATGTATTTTTAGTTTTTTTAATATTAAATAAAGTTTCTAAAAGCATTTTTTTAAAAAAGATAAATCAACTTTATCATTTTTTAAGAAAAAAAAATCAAATTTTTAAAGAAGTCTTTTTAGAGAGATTTATACTAAAATTTGGTGTACATTTTTAAAAATAAAAATATTATCGATCCATACTATTTAAAAAT